CCCAAAAAAAAGTGTGTGTTTTTTCTTTTTTTCTTTTTTCTTTTTTTTCTTCTCTTTCTTTCATTTTTTTTTTTTTTCCTTCTCTTTCTTTCATTTTTTTTTTTTTTTTAAACCATTGCATATGATGGATGGTTCCCTAGATCGAAAAGTTCAAGTTGTATCTACCCTCCCTCTCCTTCCCACAAAGAAATCAAATTTTAGAAGCTTAAATCCCTCATGTCGATGTAGTAGGAATACTGATACGATCCACAATTAGAGAAAACTGAACAATCCGATTAAGCTCCACATAATTTAACATAATAAGAGAGCGAAGAGATATGGTAACAAAAATACGACTATATTTTCACAAGTGTAAAACTAAACTTGATTATCTTGATGGGCATGATTTTAAATGTTCAAGGGAAATACATGAAGGTACTGAACAAATACCAAACTCAGTTCTGCAGAGCAGGGAAAAAACTATATGCTTTCCATTTAATGTCATTTTGAGCAGCTAAGCTCATAGAATATCTGAAATCCTGTCGAACAATGAGTTGATAGAGATACACTGAACAGAAAAGCCATAGATTTTCCAATGCAACATTTTGATATAATAATAATAATAATAATAATAATAATAATAATAATAATAATGTGACAAACTGGTTCATATGTAAGATAACAACAATAATCTGCCTGCTGTTACCAAAAATAAGGAAAAAATGCAGAGGTTTATATGCTGCTATCTCTGCCTATACGTATCAGTAGGTGACAGATAAGATGGTGCTTGGGCGTTCATCAATCTAGGGAAACGATCAAACTTTCTTGATTCAGATACACGATTTTGATGTGGACGAGTGTGGTAAATGTACCTGCCATGGGCAAATTCTTGAGATTCTGAAGCAGGTGCCAAAACTGAATGGGAGAAGGGGTCGTAATGGGGCAATCCGACTGCAGATACAGAACCTCTATGAGAAGGGAAGTGACAATATCCTCTTCCGTTGTAGAGCTCCGAGTCGAAGTGGTGAAAGTCTTGGGAAGGATGACAAGTATATGGCAAAAATGGGGTTTGAACTCGATTGGGTTGTATTAAATTTCGATGTTTCAAATTAAATTCAGGACCTCTGAAATCTGCCTTCTGCTTTGAATTTAATGCTTGGAACGAGGATGGCCTTTGGTGAAGATTAATTGAACTTTGGCTTCCCCTCAAAGGATTTGGTAGTTCATTGACATTGTTCATCTGCACATTATTACCCGTCATTTTTGTTCCAGATGGCGCTGCATGATCAAAAAGCTTGTGGCGCTTCTTACCTGATCATCAGTTAACAATATATATAGTGCTATATGAGATGCGCTTAAGGCAAACAACCAAAACCCACCCACCCCCAAATAGAAAACAAAAAAATGACCACACCATTTAAATGTACCTGTGTTTGTACAAGATTTATTTGTCTTCTTATCTGCTTTTGTCTTTCTCATAGCTCTTAAGCTTCTTGCTGTTGCTCCTCGTTTATGCTTCTCAGCAAGTACATTCAACCTTTCTTTTTCGTTATTCCAGCGCTGGATAATGGAAGTTTATGAGGACTTGATCAGAAAGTAACATGTTATTCTGATAGGTCTGGATAATTCACCTGTCTAAATGTCCTCAATTTGTAGAGGTTCCTGCCTTTCACAAGCAAAGAGAAAAGTGTAGGTAGTTTTTTGGCTCCCTTGCTCCACAGCACTTCAACCTAGTTTATCGATAGAAGAATCAGAAAGAAATGAAAGCACCAAGAGCATAAAACAAGATCATCGAGCAAAATCAAAAAGTTTGGCATTTGTAATAGCTAAATCTGTACGATTTTCAAGAATAATGTTGTGTTGTATAAATCAGCCTTACCGTGAAGGTGTGTTGTTGTTTGTCAGCACCGTAATTTTCATTTACAATCCTCCCAACAACAGTCCTTCTCCCAAGAGGGCTTCCACGCCTCATCATTTTGTCAAAACTGTTAAAAAACAATATCGTCCATTCAAGAAGAAATACAGTGGAAAATCAAATTTTATATATTTTGTAAAACGAGTGAGTTTATCAGCAATACTTCTTATATACTTTCTGATTGAACAAAACAACATCTCCCTTGCATACGTCACCTGGACAAATTGGAAAAGCACTTAAATGAAAGGAAAAAGAAGTGCATGAGATAAATCAAAATATGTACACGATGAAAAAAGAAAGTACCAGTGCAATCAATGGTAAATGAGGATCTTGGATACAAGGCTTCACAATTTCTATCTTTTATCCTAAAAATAAAACTCATATCAGAAGGTTCTTCAAATTCCACAAAAAGAATAAAGAAAAAAAGGAAGGAAAAGAAAATATTAATTTGGAGCAGTAAATTTCGTTTGTACAAAAGTTGAACGTCCCCGTTTGGTCCCTATTAATTTTCATTTCATTACATTTCATTTTTCTCTTCTATTTTCAACCATACAATCTTCCATAAAATAATATTACACGTAAACCAAAAACTTTTCCTTATTTTTCAACCACTCATTTTTCAAAATAACACTATTCCACCGATTTTCACTTCTACAAAATGAGGGCCAAACGGGGACCACATCGGCCCAATCAAGGCACCCGTGTTTCAGCAGACTATATCGGACTCTGAAGACGGACCTTGTATATTTTTACTACAAGTTGGCACATTTACCACTTAATCACGCAATATTTATGAAATTTTATTTGACCAAAAATACAACTTCAAGTTCTTCTGAAAGCTAAACTAATGCAACTGAACTGAGAGTTATGAATTCAGTTGAGAGGTTTACATAGCCTCATTTCTGTTGCAAGATTGATGGATTGAAACAGGTTCGCTGATTCGGAGGCATCAATATTCTATATAAACTAGTTGCTCACTCATCTCTTGCCCTTATCCCTCTTCTGGGGGGCATAAATCAATTAATCCCAGTCTGGTTAGGGCAATGAGGGGAGTTAGAGATAGGACACCACAGCATGATCGTCATAAGTTTATAAATGAAAGAAATGGATTGGGGATTCATGGATTATATCAATCTAGCAAACAAATTTGTTGGCGTGTGCATGGTAACTGTTAACGTGTACCATTTTTTTTTTAACTTAAATAATTACTTAACGTTAGTGCAATTGCAAACGTAGGAATTGTGGAAGTTAAGAGCAGACTGCAGATGGACCAGGGATGAGAAGCAGAAGACTAGAATTAAAAGGATTAGTTAATGATCCCCCATTGTGCATAATCAAAGCAGGACTCCTTTCAGCCATTTTACATCACACTGGCCATTCCCTCGCAGTTTTCTTTTCTCGACTTCATTTGAAGGTGAAATTTCTCACTATTACTTATTTATATAATTCAAAATCTCCCATTGTGCATAATCAAAGCAAAGGTACTTTCAGCCATTTCACGTCACAGTGGACATTCCCTTGCAGTTTCTTTCCCCGACTTCATTTGTAGGTGAAATTTCTCACTGTTAATTATTTATATAATTCAAAACCACATATCATCTTGCAACGTGAATTCGCAATTGAGAAACTTCTGCCAAATCTCACTTCCAAAAACTAGACATTTAAATTCTTATCTGATACTAAAGCTTTGATTCATTAGCAAAATGGATTTGACCATAAGGTGATCAGCTAGTAGGTCTCATGTTGAATTCCCACTAATATATGGCCTATTCCATTCAAGAGCAACAAATAATAAAACTCATCATAAAGCTACACAGACTATTTATATATTTCATGCTGAATGAGATTACTGACCTCCAGTGCTCCTTAATTCTCTCTATGCACTCGGCTTTGGTTCCAGATAATCTCAATCCATGCCTCCTTAAATATGCTTTACATTCGACTAAGTTCAACTCTTGAAGATCATTTCTCTCTGCACCCAATTAATAATAATAATAATAAAAAAAAAATAGAGATAATGATCCTTATGCCAATATAATTCATCTGATTACTTCAGCATGCTCTTAAACTACATCATCGCAAATTAAAATATAATCTAGTGAATTCTAAATCACACTGAATACTTGTTTAGATAACCAAACCTCGAAGTAATTTAATCACTTTATCAAACATGGATTCATCATTTTCTCGAACATGGGTCTCATTATCTTCTTCTTCTTCTTCTGTTTCTTCATACTCTGATTCATTCCATTCACTCCAATCATCATCATCCCCACTGAACCATAAAATCAAAACAAATAAATTCGAAACAACAAAACCTAATGCAAAAGAGAGCTAATTTCTCAATATATACAAATAGGTAGTTGATTGTTAAAGATAGCGAGTCGGATAATACCTAGAATTCGAAGAACTGATCTTCTCAACAGCATCCTCAGCGTTTTCGGACTCAGACGAAGAGATTTCAACAAAAGTGCGTTTTTTTAAGGATTTCATGTCAAATTCAATGATGAAAGGTATCGATTCAATTGCGGCAATGAATTAAAAATAATTGGAAGAATTTCCAAATGTGACGAGAGGAGATGTAAATGCAACAAATCCTCATGAAAACCAAATAATATTTTGTAAATTTATAATTATTCAAAATATGGCCCTTTGAGCTCTGTTTTTGTACAAAAATGCATTTAGAACTAATATATTATTGGAGATTGCGTGGTTAAGATTTAAAAAAAAAAATTGGGTTTGTGTGAATTATTATTTTATTGGAGAATGAATTATTCAATATGAGTTTTGAAAAATTAGATTTAAAAAAAATGAGAACCAAACAAAGGCATAAAGTTTGAATGGAAGTATTTATATTTGTGATTGTGTTATATGTATAAAAGGATCGTTTGGTAGTAATTATGAGAATTGATTTTTCAATCGTTAGGAAGCAAAGTGGGGATTATATGTGAGTGAAGAAGTAAAAAATGACGAATGACATAATGAAATAACAGTCAAAAAATCAATTTTTTGGGAGGTGAAAAATCACTACCAAACGTGGGCTAAGTTTACATATTTGATGCAATGAGAAATGAATAATCAAAATTTTTTCAACAGAAAATAAAATAAAATAAAATAATTTTCATCTTTTTGACACCTCATTTATATATAAATTATTATGTAACTATTTTTATATTTGTAATCAATAAATCCATTGAACCATGCTACTTGTATCGTTTCCTTTCTAGATTCTTTGACAGGTATTGAGATGGCATGCATTTTGGCCATTCATGTATCAAAGAGTCTTTCAAAAACATTTCTTTACAAGCAGCTTAATCAAATACATTGGAGATGGGACAGATTAAATAGACTGTGCTTTATCCAACTTTCATTGACTTTGGATTCACATGAGGGTATGTTCGATTGTCAATAGTTTTTTATGAAAAATATGTTTTTTCCACCCAAATTCCTAATTTATATTGTTTGATTGACATTTATCCATGGAAAATATTTTCTGACTTTTGGTCATATGACCATATTTTCCTCAAAATCAAGAAAAATATTTTCTTTAACGATAGTATGATTTTATTTTCCAGGGTATTCACTCTCTCTTTCTCTCTCTAATATATCCACGCTTTCTCGTCTACCCACCATAAAAAAGGGACAAGTATACTATTTTCTAGGTTGAAAATTAAATCAATCAAACATATTTAATTGACAATGTCCATGCAAATAAGTTCTAGATAATTGAATTGCCTATAATTTATTTTCTTTCCATGCAAATTCTATGAGAAAGTTACACAACGTGTGATTTTTAGCTTCTCAATTTAAAAATTTTTAGTTCAAAAATCAGGTGATAATTCAACTTTTAATATAAATAATAATATTATAAAATTAAATTAATCTACATACTATCACCCAACCTCCAACCTCACTTGATTTCACTCCCAAATCCTAAATCATTTTCCATTTGTGACTCTTTTAAATAAAGGCTAAAGTTAAGGAAATCAAGAGAAGGTGGCCAGTAGATAACATGGCGACGAGCACCGTGCCATGCAAATGTGGGTTGTAGTGTGGTGGTGTTGATTTTGGATTTGATGTGGATGTGTTGGTGGCTATCGGTTGTGGCGCAAGTGGTGGTGACTGTGGGTAATGGTGCAGGGGGTGGTAGTTAGCTATTGTTCAGGTGGTGACGGTGGGTTGTGGTGTAGTGGTGATAATGGTTTGCAGAATTGCCTTTTGTTGTTGTTGGCAGCGGGTTGTGGTGCAAGTGGTGACAATGTTGGTAGTGGTTGTATGTTGAAGAAAGTCGTGGTGGTCATGGAGGCAGTGGGTTATGCATCTGAAGCGTTGTGGGAAAATTTTAGTAGCACCAACGGTGGTAGAGTGGGGATGGGTGACTATGGGAAATTGAAGAGTAATATGTGATCAATTATTTGATTAATTGTGACCAATTATTTTGATAATATGTCATCGATAAATGAGTTGTCACCGATAAAATTTGTGATTTGTAATTGAGAAATAAGTTGTAACCTATAAAACTTTTATTTATGCGAGAAATATGGTATTGATGAATTTGATAATCTATAATCGAAAAATAAGTCATGATCTATACAATTTGCGATTTGTGGCCAAGAAATAAGTCGTAATCGATTAATTTGATAATTTGTGATCGATAAATAATTTACACATATAAAATTTGTAACTTGTGACTTTAACGTTCTGTTATTGTGACTGATATTTAACTGTAAACATAGACTGTATGATATTTTGATCCTAACATTTTTAATTACATATTTAATTAATAAAATAAATGTAATTACTTATTTACTTAATTACCTATATATGACTTAATTTTGAAAGAAAATCTCCAAGTTTCTCAAATTTGAAAATGTATCTTTAGAGCTAGGTAGTTATGTATTCTTCGTTTTATGAAGAAATTACACTCACACGTGATTTTTAACTTTCAAATTCTAAAATCAGGTTTAAAATATTTTTTGTTCAAAATTCATATGATAATTGTACATTTTAATATTAATAATAATATAATAAAAATTAAATTAATCCGCATACCCCTACTCCACCTCGTCGTACCCCCACCTTACCTTACTCAATTTCACTTCCAAACTTGAAATCATTTCCCATTTGTGACTTTCAAATTAAGCCTGAAGTTGAGAAAATCAAAAGACGGTGGCTAATGGATAATGCTTTGTGAGGAGCGCGATGAGCGCCTTAGCGGTGATAGCGTTGCTCATCGTTGCGCAGTGACACCGATGTCAATATTGCTTCTACTCTCTCTTTATCTCGATCTTCTTCTCCATTGGTGAACAGTTTCATGGGTTGAATAAATACAAAGAAGGGATGGACGAAGTGGTTATGGTGTGATAGAAGTGGGAGGTGTTGGCTATGTGATGTTGTAGTGGTATTGTTAGCGATTGTGGTGTGGTGGTGGAGGTGTTGATTTTGGATTTGATGTGGACATTGTAGTGGCTGTGGGTCGTGATGCAAGTGGTGATGATGATTGTGGACAGCCTTTTTGTGGTGGTGGTGTGTTGCGATGGAGGAGGTGATGTGGCGTTGGTGGTGGTGGTGCATTGGAGGAGAAGGTTATGGTGGTGGTGGGGCCAATGGTGGTCAAGTGGGGTGACGTTGGAGAGATGAAGAGTAATATAGGATCAATTTATTGGTTAATTGTAATCAATTAATTTGATAATTTGTGATCTAAAATAAAGTTGTGACCTATAAAATTTGTGACTTGCGAGAGAGAAATAAGTCGTGACCTACAACATTTGCGCTCTGTGATCTAGAAATAAATCATGGTCAATGAATTTGATAATTTGT